GGCCTGTCCTTCAAGACTCTGAGACTGCCCTTCTTTTCACCTCGGAGCCGGCGGATGGTCTTCCAGATTACTTTGTTTGCCGTGTGGAAGCACTTTTGACTGACATTCACTTAAGTACAGGCGTAATGAACCGAACGCTGGAAATTCCACTATTCGTGGAATCATAAGAAAGGCAGTTTCGAAGCAGTTCAAATTTTCGCTAGTTGCACCAGAGGACACTGAATTTTTTGCTGATCAGACAAACTGTTTCTCACCTCTGGCAAGTAAGATCAGTATGGCGATCACTGCGCCAGTTTTCACCGTGATGTACAGAAATTGTGACCGCGGAGGACATCCACGGTTTGATTTGCATTCATGACAGAATAATGTAACACTGATTTTCGGCAAACTGTTACCATGTGGCGTGGTAGCCATAGCGTGGAAAAGTTTTTCTTTTATATTGGTTGATAATCAGCGTCTTATAGAGTTTTGTTACTTTGTTTCTTTAAATCTATTTTAGGTTTCTGGAGTTTGAAGAGGGTGAGTCTGCCAAGACAGTATCGCAGAGGGACATCACTCAGATGGTGGATATCGCAAGCGCCACAAAAGTAATTTTGAGATAATTTTGTCGAATGCATTAATGACTGGTATTGTAGTCTCTTCGCTATTAACAGGCAGACTATGCCCTAGTTTAAATATGATATACTTTGTGAAGTCATATAGGAGCATTGACTAAATGTATTTTTTTTCAGTACTAGGAACGTTTGCGCGTTGCCGATTTTGTTTCTTTTTTCTTTATTCCATGCCAGCGATATATAGTTTATGTTTAACCTTCATGCTTCTAATGCGGACTTTTTGACAGAGTCATATGATAGTCTTATGGTCATATGATTAAGTTGAAAAACCTCCTTTGTCTTTTCAAGTTTGTTTTCGTTGATGGCCATTATTTCCTAGCAGTTGCTCTGACTATGCCTGGGAGAACTAGTTAACGGTTTTTGCCTGTTAGAAGTTCAGGTTTTACCGATATGCATTTCAGGCGATGTTTCAGTGTTCATTTACGTTTACTCCAGTAAACGCTTATGCAGCGTAACTTTCAGCTTTTGTTTCCGTGAGGACCGTGCCACGTAATTATGTACAAAGACAGGAAAAGGAAAAGCAATTTCAATAATGCAGATTTTGCTAATAGAACTGACGAAATCAGCTGTCACCGAAAATTGGGTTTCTCGAAATTCAGGTGAAGGATGATATTACTAATTTTTGAGACAGTTCAGTTTCGTTTGGATGGATGCTATTTGAGACAGCATTGTAGGCAGCCTTAATTTTGATTTGACTCTGGTCATTCTTAGTGCCTGGCACTTCCGAAAAAATCCTATCGTTATGTGAATGTTTTGCAGGACCGTTTCTACAGCCCATTTACAATTTGAATAGAAACTAGAGCGTGCCACAAATTTTAGACAAAGTCATAGGGCAGTAAAGTCACTG